TCATATTAGCATTACATATTTCTCACCAACCTTCATGATCTTTCTTCAAAACTAAGATTACTGGTAAAATAACACAGGTAGTTTCTAATAAATGATGTTGCTGATTACATAGATATTATGGAGGTCATCTAAAAGAAACTAAACATTCTATATGGTTAAGGAAAATGTCTGAAATCTGTATTATGTGCAGGTGACAGCAAAATTACTTCTTTTGCATTTAACCTGAGTATCCATGTCAAAGAGAAAATCTTATCAAGAGAAAATTTTTAATGTTTGTTTCATACCCAAAGCTATCAAATTACTATAATTGAGATATTATTTTATGTCTTACAAAACTTAGTTAAAAGAACTACCACGAATAGATCACAGTATGCAGAGTTTTATGTTGAAGTTCCCAGCAATTGTGGGGCCTTTCTATTGCAACTAATCTATGAGTTCTGGAAAAGAGTAAGAACAGATAAGAGTTATCCAACCTAAGATGGTTCTTAACTTGTAAATTTTCCCATGAAAAGTTTATTGTAACAAACTGAAGAACTAAAAGAGGGAGTGAGATGAGAAAGAAGAAATAGAAAGACAACAGAGGAATGAAGAGTAGAAGGTCATAGACTTCCCCCATTCTTTAATCAGTAACACTTTTGTGATGACTTGGTTCTTTTATGCAACGAACATTTAATGAAGACATCCTAATCAGACAGTAAGGTTGAGTAGACTAAATCAGAGACCTTAATAAGTAAAATGAGCCCCATCTGTCCCATTTCTTTATGGAATTTATCATAAATGCCCAAGCAAGTAATAACTTAAGTTTTCTGTTCTAACATAGGTAACTTACTTACTCTTATTTGCTTTTGAAATCTTAAGACACAAACATGTTTGAAATAAATTAAAATATATGAAATTTACTATCATAATTCCTATGTGCCTTCCCATTACGAATACACACAAACTGAGAAATTTAAGATAATTTATACTTAGTTAACATAATTTATTAACATTCCAAATCTGTAAATCTTATTGGGCCTTGTTTTAATAAACTATGAGTAAAACAGCTACTTTAAAAATTCACCAACTGTTTTCTTTTAAATGGGTGCAGGAAAACAATGAAAACTTCTTGTGTACCCCACTACAGCATAATGTAAATTGATCGGTGTGCAAGACAAGAAAGCATGGCACCTCATACTGCATAACACTCTATGAACTTTGACTGGAAGGCTTAGAACAGCTAGATTGAGAATTATACATAATGACCCAGGAGACAATTTCACCGTATGCCCAGCAATCAACAGGGGCCAACAGATTATTGGTTGCTTTCTATGGCTTGTATATAATTAAAGTTCTACTATAATGACAATTCACAGTAGGAAAGTTACGAAATACATTGTTGGTAAATCAATAGATGACACTGACTATAAATGATATCTAGACATGGGCTTTCCAAGCAATTCTAAAAAAATTGATTTCTATGAACAAGTTATTATTCACATAATGGAATAGATGGATGCAAAATAACATAACAAAGTCTACATTTTATTATTATCCACATTAATTATTTAAGCCTGTTTAAGATACAGACATTGTCATGCAATCCTGGAAAAAGTGTAATTTGACAGATAGAGAATAGGCCCTAGAGAGTATAATCTGTGGTGCAGTGGTTCCCCTATAAAGATTTTGAGGGGATGAGCATTGTGGTACAATGGGTTAAGTACCTCCTGGGACTCTGCATCCCATACAGGAGTGCTGGTTCCAGTCTAGGCTCCTCCAATTACTATCCAGCATCCTGCTACGGCATCTTGAGAGGCAGTAGATGATGGCTCAAGAGCTTTGGGACCTGCCACCTACGTGGGAGACACTATGGAGTCTACCTGTTGTGGGGCATTTGTGGACTGAATCAGGGGATGAGAAATCTCTTTCTTTCATTTCTTTCCCTCTCTCCCTCACTCTCCTTCCCCTTCTCTCAATCCCTTTTCCTCCCCTTTCTCATTCTCCCTGCCTTTTAGGTAGATGAAAAATAAACATTTCTTAAAACAAATAAAAAAATTTTCAAGAAAATCTTACCCATAGCAGACATTGCCTCCATCTGAACATGCTATGTCATTTGGGCACTATGCAAATCAAGTCTATAGACTGACTGCAATTAAAAAGTTATTTGTAGAGAAATTTAAACAAAATTTTGTTTTTGCTGAAAGTATATTTAATAGTCAATTATTTGACTCTATTAGAAAGATAATTTCTAAAATCAGTATTTTTCTTAATACATGATTTTACAGAGGAGGAGATGTACTAAACATACGACACAGTGGCAATAAAATGTTCTCCCGTACAATTAGGGACATATTTCCCTCCATGTTTTGCAAACTGAGTTAGAAATATGGGAATTTTACCTATGTTACTGAGAGAGTCATAACAGAGAGACTCCTATGGAGCCCCTGCCTCTCACTGGGGAGTGGCAATGGTAATTCATTTTCTCTGGAAGAACAATGAGCTAGCTTGCATGCTCTCAGCTGGCAATGTAAGGCCTGCTTGCATAAAGATTCTCCAAGCTTAATTTACTCCCAGTGTACTTGGAGGGCAACGATTTTAGCTGTTTGGAATGCACAAACCCTTACAACTATGAGCACTATCAGAATGGGAAAAGAGCTGAAGCAAACCCGGTTAGAATTTGTAAAGTATAAGACAGACACACGACCTGCCTGATGAGTGACTGCAGAGTCAAAAAGGTAGTAACTTATGTTTTTACACCAAATTATTCACCGTAACTCTAATACTCTTTTTGTACCAAACCTCAATCTAAAATTGTTATGAGGTAGTTTATAGAGGGGAATAATAGCAGTTTTCATTGGTCTGGTTGACTGGAGTACACACTACCCTGAAAAATGAAGCCTGGGCAGAAGTATAAAAGCTTAAACATAACCTCTACAGGGCTCGTGCCCTCTGTGTGACAGGTAGTCAGGAATCTGTTTTCTGAGCTGCCAACTGTTAAAAATCACCTCCAAAAGGAAATGATCCATTTACTTTAAAAAGATTTCAGGAATTCTGTCACCTTCTATGGTCATCTCCTTGCACTTTCAGGTAAGAACTACTTACATAGTCCTAATAGAACACCCTGGCTGAGTTTCACACCCTTTTGCTCCAGTTCTATGACAATGGTGAACAGCTGGTCAATGTTCTATTTAAAATAACTCTTCAGACATAGAATCAACTTATCCCCACCGCTTACAAGCTGTGGGGCCTTGGGAAAGAATAACACTACACTTCTAGAGCACAGCAACATAAAAGAATTTTATTGCATTTCAGTCTTCAAATAATTTTCATGTGTGTTAGCTTAGTTCACTCTCAAAACAATCCAATGAGGATACTTTAATCTGCACAGGCTACTTAGTTACATCAGATTAAAGAAAAAGCTATGATTTATTTTAAAATACCTGTTTATGTCCCAGTAGTTATAACCTGCTGTAACAAATATGAAACATTTTAAAAACAAATAAAGCACTACTCAAGTGCAATGTGGTAATACAGCTAAAATAAATCCAGGGTTTTATTCTTCCTTAATCTATTGCCAAGTCTTTACGGAGACCACAGCACCTGTATTTATTTCATTATTAATTTTTCTCTTTGGGGCATGTATATTTTTAAAATATATGAAAGAAACTAAGATAAACAAAATTAGTTATAAACACTCACAATACAGTTCATGCCAACAAGAATAGAATTATTGTCAGTTCTTTTAAATCATTTCTTATTTCCTTATTTCTTACTCCCTCTTGTTAAGTGACATGGGGTTATTAACCTTTTTTAAGTATTAGGTACACTAAGATTTTGTATTTCTATTTTTCTGCCACATAATTTCTATAAAGCATTTCTCATTCTATTTGATAGAGCCTGCTTTTCTCAGCCATACTGTTCTGGTACTTTCCTCTAATGACTCTATCTTACACTTAACAGAGCGTTCTCTGGGTTAGCTAATATCCCTATACCTATTACTGATTTCCCATAAGAAGAGTCCAACAAATTTCTGATGAATAAAAGAATGAGCATTTCAAAATTTTAGCAGTTGAATACATTTTTCTATATCAATGCATGTGCACACATTTTTTTTCCCCTCAATACAGTCTGTCAACCAAATGGGCTCGTTGGAGCCACTGACCCGTTCTTTGCTGGAAGAACTAAAAAAGTGTATTCCACAACATTTATACATATCAACTTATTAATTCTTTCCTACAACTTCTGTGTTCATGAAGAAATGAAACAAAGAAAGACAGTCACTTGCTTAACTAGATTGGGGAGCTACAAGAAGACAGAAGCAGGGACAACGAAGACTGAGATACAAAAAAGTCTATACGGTTAGAAGCTTTTGTTAAATGGAAAAGGATTTCTAAAGTCCTTTAGTTTAATGCAGTTATTTGAAAATAAATATGTAATTGGCATTGAAAATTGGAGTTTTCCCAAATCAGTTCAAATATTACTTTAATAAGGTGAGTCTTTGTAGAAGATCATACAAAAGACAGTTCATTCATGTGCTCCCCATGCTTTTTGTGTAGCGACTCTAATCTGCTTAGTGATTCTGATGTCTGTATTACAAATATAGGTTAGCAAGTTGTAGATTTGCTAATATTTTGATATTTTCCACAAAAATACTGCCCTAAACACACCTACCTGAAATTACCAATTATTTTTCTTGACTTGAAACAGAGTAAAAAAGATTTTTGAGTTTTTATTTGAAGAGTCCAATATTTTTCAAAAATATCTGAGTAGAATGCATAGTATTTAAAGAACTATAATCTTATATGCTATATATAAAAATGCATGACATAGAATACATGCTATGAAATGTTACTGTGTCCATTTACAAAAAACTTTTCAGTTATCCCAGAATTTCCTGGGAAAAAAAGATTCTTGTTCCTATCTATGCTATAGAAATTATTTGGCCTATAAGAATATTAAAGAGCCTTTTAAAACATTATCTGTAGATAACAGACATGTACTCCATGGAGACAGTTCCATACCTGTTTTATTGGAAAGTCTAAATGATACCATCTTATCAGGAATATTACACACATTCCTCACTGAAGCAATGCAGCTATAATTGGCATAGTCCTGAGGTCGAAGATTCTTTAGCTTTAAGATCTTTGTTTCACCCTGAAAATATAAAGAAGGTCATTAGAAAAAGCCAATGGTAAGCAGAATAAATGAATGAAACACAACATTATATTGTATCAAGTCATTATTATAATGTGGCAAACTGTCTTATTTTTATGAAAAATACTCTGAAGTTAAAAAGAACTCTGCATTTAAAAAATAACAATTTAATATACTCAGATAAAATCCAATAGTCTACAAAGAAAACTAATAATGTTTTCTTTGCAAGCTAGCTTGTAAGAGAGACAAATCTATTTCTGGTGATAGTTATGCAAATTATATCCAATGATTAGGACAGTGTACTTAATAATGGAGTTTATTCAACAAAAAATATAATCTATACAGTCTTCAACATGAAATTTTATGAAAGAAAAAATTCTGAGGAAGAATCAATAAACAAAACCCTGTTACTTGAACAAAATTAATAAAACATGTCTAATACAGATAATTAAATGTTTATACATAAATATGAAAGTGACAAGTGACACATCTAAAACCCAATGAAAGAAATATTTATAAGTACTTCTATACTATTAATGTTCTTGCTGTTTTATATTCAGGAGTTGGGGAGTTAGGTTTACCAGGGAAATCTGCTAAACCACAGAGAGACCCAAGTCATGCAAGCAGTCAGAAGTATCTTACAAACTCTTGATGGACCCGAAAAGACCACATAAAAATTGCTCAAAGGGTAAAAATAAACAGTAATGGAAACAATTAAAAAAAAAAAAAACCTCCTGCCCCTTGCCCTATTAAAATTAAGCCCTTGCAATTTCTTTGCCTTCTAAATTCATTAATCCATCTCAAAATCATCCCTCTTATAACTTACTTACTTATGGTGATGGCAAAACAATGTCCACAGACTTAAGATTTGGAGTAGCAATTTTTAAAATGTTATTTTTTTTTAGGTAATGTGTTCCTTTCATATTAATGGGGTAAAGTAACTAAAGTCCTAAACATTACAATACTTTCACAAGCTATTAAGAAGGAAGGATTGGAGGGCCTGTGCCATGCACAGTAGGTTAATCCTCCGCCTGCAGCGCTGGCATCCCATATGCGTGCCGGTTCTAGTCCCTGCTGCTCCTCTTCCAATCCAGCTCTCTGCTATGGCTTGGGAAGGCAGTGGAAGATGGCCCAAGTCCTTGGGTCCCAGCACCCATGTGGGAAACCGGGAAGAAGCATCTGTCTCTCTGTCTCCTGGCTTCAGATCGGCGCAGTTCTGGCTGTTGCAGCCATTTGGAGAGTGAACCAGTGGACTGAAGACCTTTCTATCTGTCTCTCCTTCTGTCTGTAACTCTTCCTTTCAAATAAATTTAAAAAAAAGAATTAAAAAAAAAAAAAAGAAAGAGAAGAAAGATTGGAATACTTAGTGACCTAATTTTTTTTTTTTTTTTTTTTTGACAGGCAGAGTGGATAGTGTGAGAGAGAGAGACAGAGAGAAAGGTTTTCCTTCTGCTGTTGGTTCACCCTCCAATGGCCGCCGCGGCTGGCACACCGCGCTGATCCGAAGCCAGGAGCCAGGTGCTTCTCCTGGTCTCCCATGCTGGTGCAGGGCCCAAGCACCTGGGCCATCCTCCACTGCACTCCCGGGCCATAGCAGAGAGCTGGCCTGGAAGAGGGGCAACTGGGCCAGAATCCAGCGCCCCGACCGGGACTAGAACCCAGTGTGCCGGCACCGCAAGGTGGAGGATTAGCCTATTGAGCCACGGCGCCGGCCGACTTAACATTTAAAGACATCATGTGCACTGCAAAAAAAAAAAAATTGTCCAGACACTGGCACAATTTCCCAGATGTGTCCAATAAACCTCTACTTCAGTGTGCATGGGCATTGTGGACAAAATTATTTGATTCACTGTCAAAATGCAATCTTCAAACAGGTCCACCTTTAAAATTTTCTTAAGTAAATTAAGCAAAAACTCATTATTTTTAATTTTCTTTAGGAAATGTGTCCATTTTTCTATACAAATATAATTGCATCCCACACAAATATATTCAGAAGTCTCTGTGTTTCTAGAACTTATATTTAAAATACTTCCCCTTGTGTTAGAGAATTCTCATACCCTATAATAGAGCTAGCTACTCAGAAACGTTTTGTAAAAATTACTCAGAAACTTTCTGAATGAGGTGGTAATACCCCTCCTATCTCTGAGACACTTACAGTTTAGATTATTCTGCTTTTCTTCCTTTTCTTACCACCGAACTACTGGTATTCCCAGAAGCTGTGTTTGTTCCACACTTAAACAAATTTTATAAAATTTCCATAAGTGTTGTTCCCCTTGTTGATCAATTTATATGACAAACCTTATTGTCATGCCTCACTTCCAAGTCTGTATCTATATTTTAGAATTCTACCATGAATTTCAGATGCATATACCAAATTTTTGCTTCAACGTGTCCATTTTATCATTTCACAAACAGCTAAACTGGACTTTAAATCTATTCCTCTAAAATCAGTTGCCTCTCTAATCCATCCTCTAAACTATCCTCTCTAATCTATGAGGAATCTTAGACTCAATTATAACTTTATATTTACATGTTTAGTGTCTCAACTAGATCGTTTTAATGATTACATATATACCATCTCAACTATTCTTTCTTTCTTTATTTTTGGATTCTAATGCCCTTAATCCTCCATTCAGATGAAAAACTCCTGATTGTCTTTACAGTTTAAGGATTAGAGGAGACAAAATGATCCATATTTCAACTAGGAATATTTTCAGCTTTACTGAAGTATGGGTGACAAATACAAATCATATATATTAAGGAACCTAACATGATGCTCTCTTCTTCTATTTTTTTTTGGACAGAGTTAGACAGTGAGAGAGAGAGAGACAGAGACAAAGGTTTTCCTTTTCCGTTGGCTCACCCCCTAAATGGCTGCTACCGCCGATGTGCTGCACTGATCGGAAGCCAGGAGCAGGTGCTTCCTCCTGGTCTCCCATGCAGGGCCCAAGGACTTGGGCCATCCTCCACTACCTTCCTGGGCTATAGCAGAGAGCTAGACTGGAAGAGGAGCAAGCGGGACAGAATTCGGCACCCCAACAGGGACTAGAACCCCGTGTGCTGGCGCCATGGGCGGAGGATTAGCCAAGTGAGCCGTGGAGATGGCCATCCGTCATGATGTTTTGATATGCTTATACATTGCAAAGTAATCCTCACAATAAACTAATTAACATATATCCATCCCCACAGTTATCACTTTCCACACTTCTTAAAAATATTAAATCTGATCATATCATCTCTTCACTAAATCACATGAATGATTTGCAATTGCTTTTTTGTTTAAAGATTGATTTGAAAAATAAGTTTATTTGAAGAGTTACAGACAGAGAAGTTGAGACAGAAGGTGAAGTCTTCCATCCACTCATTCACTCCCCAAATGGCCACAAGGTTGGAGCTGGGCTGATGCAATGCCAGAATCCAAGAGCTTCTTCAGGATATCCCATCTGTGTGTAGGGGCCTCAGCATTTGGTCCATCTTCTGCTGCTTTCCCAGGCCAGCAGGGAGCTGGATTGGAAGTGGAGCACCTGGGACTTGAATCAGTGCCCACATGGGATGCCCATGCCGTAGGTGGAGGTTAAACCTACTACGCCACAGAGCCAGGCCTGATATTGTTCTTACAAAGAAAACACAGTACTAGGAACGTGGCTGACAGTGCTATACGATGCACATTCTTCTTGCTTCTCTTAGAGCCCAGGACATGGCCAGCTTCATCCTTTCATAGACCCTTTTCACATATACCTGGCTCTTCCTGTCTATCAACTCCATCTCATTCTTGGATGCCAACATGCCTCACTTTCATGTCAAGTCTTCTTACTTTCCGAAATAGGAGTGATTCCTTTTTATGAGATACCCTTCTGTTTCTAACAGTTGCATCTTTACACTTACTTGGGTAATGGATTTATTTTCTGCCAGATTCCTTCCCCTTGCCACTGAGTACCTGGAAGGAGGAATTTTATCTGCCTTGCCCCCAGCGCTATATTCTGGTAATAGCCAAGCACTTGTACAGAGGAGCCATTCTTAAAATCAATACTTTCACAATTCAAAGTACTGTGCCTACATCATCCATGGCTTTGCTTTATACAGATTATTACCCCAGAGGGCACCTGCTATGAACTCAATAAACAAATGAAATATAATTATAGATTAAGTGTATAAAAGAGAATGTATTTACTACATTACAGGTAATCAATAGATATTTATATATTCCTCCAGTAACAATTTGCTTTGTTTACCCTTTTAATTTTAGGTGGAAATATGCCCAGACAGAATATTAAATCAAAGCTTGAATCATATCAAAGGAAATAGTGAAAATCAACAGAAATATAAATGATAGGTAGATATATAGAGATATATATATACAAGCACATACATAATGCAATACAAGAGTATCATAAAATTACATAAATTACAGCAAAAATAATCCATCTGTAACCTTTCTTAAAAAGTTTATTATGCCAATATTCCAAAAACAATCACATTGTTATAACTATTCCTAAGTATTTACAAAGATGAATGAACAGTATCATCAAGAAGCAAAAAGACAAATGTTTTCCCTGATTTGTGGTAACTCAGTACAAAAAGATGTAATGTATACGAGCAAAATTGAAATTTTATTTGATTACTGTTTATAGCCCCTGTGTCTACTGTTGAGCAACAATGTTTTTTTATTTTTTTTTCTATTTGTTGAATTCTCTACTTAGTGGAGGATTAAGCTTATGATTATAAAATAAACTGAAAGTACATCATTGTAAAAATTTAAAAAAAGAGCAAAGTGTAAAATGAGAGAGAGAGAGAGAGAAAGAGAGAGATGTGTATTTAGAGGCTGACATTATGGTATAGCAGGTTAAGCCACTCCTGCAGCGCTGGCATCCCATATAGGTGCCAGTTTGTGTCTCAGCTGCTCCATTTCTAAACCAGCTCCCTGATCAGGGCCTGGGAAAAGCAGCAGAAGATAACCTGTTTTGTTGCCTGCCACCCACATGGGAAACCTGCATGAAGTT